CCCCCCCAGCCTTAGTTGGGCCATCAGCCCTAGCACCCACTGCTGTAGTGGCAGGGTGGTGGGGACCCCACCTTACCTCGGAGGCCCCACTCCACCCCTCGGCTGGTTCCCAGTCCCTGGTGGCCCCTCCCCAGGTGTGCCGTGAGCAGTTCGTGCGCCTCCACAGCCAGCCCATCCTGCAGGACCTGTCCAGGTTCCTGGCGAGGCGCTTCTCCGAGCACAGGTGACGTTCCCTCACTGCCCGGGTAGCCTGGACCACCACCTGTCCGGCGCAGGCCTTATACCCGACTCTGCCCTGGCACAGGTCCCAGAATCAGTCAAAGAACATCTGGGTCACCAAGTTGGTGGACACGCTGCAGTCGGTGCCCAAGACTGGTAGGGCTGCGGTGGGGGAGGGGCGTCCGTTACGCAGATGGGGCGGGGCGTCTCAAGGGCCCCGCCCCACGGCCTGCCTCTGCTCCGCAGGGGATTTCGACCTCGAGCAGGTGAAGCAATCGACCTACTTCTTCAGCTGAAGCCCGTGCTGCCCTGTGCCAGTGTAAATAAAGTTGCGTTGCCACCCGCGGGAGCCGCCGTCTTCTGGGAAGTGGTGCCCCACGAGTCCCAAGTCGCCTGACCACAACAGCCGGGCACCAAGCAATCAGACGCGGGCAGGCTGGGCGCCAATGCTGTCGTTTATTGCGCGGAATGGGGGTGTGGAGATTAGGAGGCGTGGGGGTCACGGAGGGGCACTGCGGCCTCAGCTCATCAGTACATTCACGACGGCGGGGCCCCTGGCCTCGCCCCCACGCCCGGCGCGGCCAGGATTGCCACCCCCACTGCCGGATGCCCGAGGGAGCTGGGTGTGCCCGCTCCACGGGGTCACCGCGGGACGCACGCGAACAGGGGGCCGGCAGGTTATTGCGTGAGCGTGACGGGGGCAGCGGGGGGCCGGCAGCCAAGTATTGCACTTAATACAACCTTCGGGCGGGCGGCGGGGCTCCACAGCCCCCTCTCCCGGCCAGGGCCGGCCCGTCCCCGGTTCACAGTTGGGGAACTGAGGCACCGAGGTGAAGGGAGCTCCTCGCACGCGTGCACACGGGGCCGCCACTGGGGACGGGGGGGCGATGTGGATGGGCGCAGGGCGACGGAGGCTCGGCGGGGGCGGCTGCCCCCTCCCCCGGCCCGGGCCCGCCTGTCTGGCTACTACTACCTACGTCTCCTCTATGGCTTCTGGGCTGGGCGGCCGGGGCAGCGCGCAGTGGCATGGCTTTGGTCTGGATGACGGCCCGCCCCGGGCCCGCCCGGGCCCGCGGGGCGGCGCGGCGAGGGTCACAAGTTGGAAGAGAGGCGCGAGCGTGCGGAGTCCAGTGGGTCCAGGGCGCCGGCGGCGCCGGGCGAGGCCGAGTCCCTGCGGTCCGGGCTGGGTGCGGCAGCTCGGGTGGCGGGCCCGGGTCCCAGGCGCGGCGTGGAGCTGCTGGCCGCGCGCGGGGAGGCCCCAGGGCCAGGCCCGGGTGCGCCGTGCGGCAGCGAGGGCTGTGAGGCGGACAGTGGCCGCGACGCACGGCTCAGGCGGCGCGCGGGCAGCGCGGGCCCGGCGCGCGGGGCGGCGGGGGAGCTGGGCGCGCAGCCGTAGGGCGAGGTCCGCGGCGCCCGGGGGCTGGCGGGCGCCCCCTGGGGACTGGCGACGGGCGCGGGCCCGGGCGAGGCGGCGGCGGGCGCGGGCCCCGGGGCTGGGCGGCGCACGAGGCGGGGAGAGCCGAGCGCCAGCGGCCCCACGAGTGGACGCGCCACTTGCGGGCAGAAGCTCATGGCCACGGCCTGCTGGAGGGTGGCGATGGCCGAGGTGACCTGCGGCGGCTGGGGCTGTGCGAAGAGGCCTGCACGGTGGCCCAGCTCGGCCTGCTGTGCCATCTGGCGGTCGTACTTGACGATCTCCTGGATGATGGCGTTCTCCTGGTTGTTGAACACGCCCGAGTTGAGGTCATGCTGCACCTTGTGCAGGAGGATGGAGTTCTTCTTGCCTGCGGGCGGGCGGGGCGTCAGCGCTGCGGGCGCCTGCTGCCTACCGCGGCGGGTCTGTGTGCTGCAGTGCACAGCGAGCGCGTGGGAGCGCTTCCTACATGCAGCCAGCAGGTGTGTCTGCTGTATACATGAAGCGGTATCAAGCACCTGCTGTGTACAGGAAGCACGCACTATAAGCAGCAAGCACGCAGGGATCTGCACTTGCTCTGTACACCCGGTTCACACTGAACACCTGCAGAGCCACGGCAGCACCGAGTTCTGTACTGTGTACAGTAAGCAGGTATCAGATACCTGCCATAGATAAGCATGCATGGAGCACCATGTGCATGTAGTAGGCGACTACCGATGGGACCTACTCTACACCGCCAGCACAGGTGGGGTGCCTCTGCATACAGCAAATGGGTGTCAAATGTCTGTTTACAGCAAGCAGAAATCAAGCACCTACTGTATACAGCAAGCATGCATGACCTGCTACTGTATACAGCCAGCAGGTATGAGACACCTATACTGTCAGCATGCACAGAGCACTTCCTTTATACAGTATGCATTGTGCACCCGTTGTATACATAAAGCAAGTGTGAGACTATGGCAGGCATGCGTAGCAACCTCTTGTGCAGTAATTCCGTATTGGGCACCTGCAGTGTACAGGAACACGCCCAGAACACCTGCCTTATATGGAGCCAGTGATGAGTGCCAGTCCCATATACGGCAGGCATGCCACTCACAAATATGTTGAGCCCCTACTGTATACAGCAAGTTGTTGAATGCTTATTGTACATGAACTTTCTGTAAGTCTTCCCTCTAACACTTCTCCACCCAACCCACCCTGCTTTTCCAGCTACTGTCCTTATTCCCACAAAGCACCAAGGGTCACCGTCTCCCTGACTCCTACATCTAGTTGTCAGCTAGTCCTTAAAGCTTCACGTCAATTGAGAGTCCCCTGCCTTCCCCTACACCCAAAACCTCCAGGCCAGGCCACCACCCCCAACTCCTGAACAACACTCACCCTTGCAGAATGGGAATCTGATCAGATCCTCCTCTGCCTAGAATCCTCCACAGCTCCTATTGCCCCTGATTTACTGTCTGGGTTCCTCTCCCCACAGCCCAATAGATCCCATGTGCCTGGGCCCTGCCTGCCTCCCCAGCCCCTTCCTCCCAGCTTACCTGGTTCCCAAGACTCCAGGCATCTCCCACCTCAGGGCCTTTGCATATGCTGTGTCCATTCCTAGAGCATGCCCTCTCCCTTTCTACCTAGCAACACCTATTCATCTTGGTCTCCACTCAGCACCCTTTGGAAGCCTCACCACTCCCCCATCCTGCCCTCTTGACATCAGTCTTCTGAGGATGGCCCCTGGGCCAGCCTCGTGATCCACCACCTACACCTCATTGGCACACAGTAGCTGTCAATTATTTGCCTAGTGAGCAGTTCTTCTGCATAACTGTACCCCACCCCCCGCACTGCACTGTCTCTTCCTTGGAGAACCAGGGCTGTGTTTGGCCAAGAGAAAAAGGTCTAGGGACCGGAAAGGGCCTAGGAGATCAGCTGGGCCGGACCACCTCCCATTTCAGCCTGAAGGCCCCCACAACCAGCAGCCAGGCCCCCTCACCGATGCGGTCCAGGCGGTCGATGGCGACGGTCTCAAAGGCCCGCCGCATCATGGGGTACTCCTCAAGCACCTCGTTGAAGTTGTCCACGCTCAGTGAGTAGAGGCGGCAGTAGGTATCAGCCCGCACGCTTGCCGTGCGCCGACCCCGTGTCAGCAGGCAGATCTCTGTGCAGCCAGGCAGGTGACCTCAGCTGCTGTGACATGCAGCCACACCACCATCCACCCTGGGGTCCTCCCATTGGCCATGAGCACAATCTGGCCTTTGCGCCTCCACTAGTAGGACAGGCCCACACCAGCGCCCCCACAGGCTCCCCACCCTCCCTTCCAAACCCGGGAAGGGTCCAGCCCTGTTGCCAGACCCCAGGGCCCTCAGGCACTCACCCCCAAAATAGGAGCCATCAGACAGCTTCATCTCCTTGTTGCCCTTGGTGAGCACGCTGACCACACCGTGCTGGATGAAATACATCTTCTTGCCAATGGTGCCCTCACGGATGATGTAGTCACCCGGCTGGAAGACCTCAAATTTGAGTTTGGTCAGCATGGCTGTGACAAAGTTGGGGTCTGCATTGGCAAACAACGGCATTGAGGCCACCAGCTTCCGGCAGTTGAAGTTCACAATCTCCTGTAGGGGCAGGAGGCAGGAGTGACCTCAGGGTACAGGTCTTCCACTCTGCCCTACCTTTGGGACCGTTTCTCCTCACAGGCCCTAGGTTTCTTCATCTGTGAAAGGAGTTTAACACTAAATCTGAGAATCAGCATCTTATTTCATATGCAAACACAGAAGGTTGTGCCACCAAAGACAGGAGAAGAAAAGATGTGCACGGATTCCCTACTATTTAACTCTGTATTGGCAATACTGGCCAATGCAATTAGACAAGAAAACTCCAAGAGAATCAATGGAAAGCTATAACAAAAGGGAAGTCAGTAAAAATAGCAAGTGATAAAAAAATCAACAAATCAAAAATCGAGAACCTTACAATGAACCAATGTTGGCAGAAGTTGGGGGTGACGGTTACCCTTGGCAAAGAAACTTCTGGGAAATGGGGATATTCCACATTTGATGTGGCGGTGGTTACATGATGATGTCACCTTATGGAATACCCATGAAGCATGGGTATCCTTACGAGGCGGGCACTTTTCTCTATGATTCTTTTCAAAGGAAAGGAAAGCTTACCTTAAGAAAACCAATGGCTTTTGTATATATAAACAAAAGACACTTGGAAGAAGCTATAACAGAGAAGACTCCATTTACACCAGCATAAAGAGCAAAGGAAGATGGCATGGCATGAACACAACAAAAGTGTCCAAACTTATCTGAAGAAAACTTGAAATCACTCCTGAAAGGCAGAAAAGGAGACATGAACACACTGTGTTCTTCGAACTCCTCACCATCACGAAGGTGAAGGATGTCCGTCCTCCTTGTCCACTTTTACATCGAACACGATCCCAGTGAAACTGCCGTCAGGTCTGCTCTCTACTAACTGGAGCTAGACAAGTTCTTTTAGAAGGAATGAGCAAATGAAAAAGAAATGCAGGGGCACGGGACTAGCCCTCCCAGCTATTCAAACACTTTGTAAAGCCTGTGATTCAGACAGTGTGGTTTTGGCACACACAACAGACAGGCCAGTGGGGGAGAGAAATCCAAAAATAGACCCAAGCACAATGGAACTTTGGCTTAAAGTAGAGGCGCCCCTGCCCCCTGTCATGGGGCAAAGCCGGACATTTCCACCATACGGCTGAAGATGAACCCGAGTCCCTTATTTACTCCATATTCCAGGATGAACCCCAAGGCACTCAGGGATGGAAGAAAGCACGGGTGAACTCCACTATAACCTGGGCAAACCGTGATCATGTATTGTGCACCTGCTGCATACAGCAAGCTGGCTGGTGCTGCAGGAAGGATCCAGTGCAGGGAGCGGAGCGAGATGGGCTGCATTTGTTTTATATTAAAAAAAAAATGGAGGTTATGGCAGGAGGGACCGGATAGAGGACAGGATGGAAGCCGGAAATTCTTTGAACACACGTGTAAACCAGACTTCGGAGATGTGTAAACATTTAAGTAATTATCAAGCACAGGTTGCCAGGCGCTGGGGCAGGGGAGTGAAGGCCAGTGGGAGCCGGTGTCACTTTGGGATGGCAGTGCATGGGATCAGCCACTAGTGCTATCAGCACAGCTCTGAATATACTAAAAGCACCTGGATTTTATGTTTCTGGTCTATGAGGTGTACCTCTGTACAGGAATGAAAGTAATTATCAAATACAATTAAGTGTTGTCAGTGAGGATAGCCACAGCACTTAACCTCTCCCGGCCGTCCTCCCCACCCTGAGGGCCCTTCCCTCCTGGGGGCCTCTGCCCTGGCCCCGCCATGTCTGGACACTGCAGGCTCACACCCGCCTCGCCGCCTCTTCCCAGAGCTTCCCACTCCCGCACCTCCCTGCGGGCACAGAGCAGGGCACAAAGCCAGGGCTCAGCTCGGTAACTGCCTGGTAGGTGCTGTGGGTTGAACTGTGTCCCCAAAAACTTATGTTGAAGCCTTGACCCCTGGTACCTCTGAACGGGACCTGATTAGGAAATAGGGTCTTTTAAGACTTGGTCACCCAGAGTAGGGTGGCCCCGATCCAATGGCAAGTGCCCTATAAGCGCGGACACAGATGTATAGGGGGAGGCACAGGAAGACAGAGATAGCTCAGTGATGTCCCCCCAAGGGACACTAAGGACGCTGGTATCACCAGAAGCTGGAGAGGCAGGCAGGGCCCTCCCCCGGAGCCTGGCGGGGAGCACAGCATAAGCACAGCCCGGCCCCACCTTGACCTCGGAGTTCTGGCTCCCAGAACTGTAAAAGAATAAATTACTGTGGTTTCAAGCCACCTGGCTGGTGGGAATTCATCACGGCAGCCTCAGGAATCTGACCCAACACCACACAGGCTGTGGGTCAGGACTGGGACAGACTCGTGGTTGGTCAGTGCTTAGTGAACACCGGGCGGCCCGCCCTGGGCTCGCCTGCCTCTCCTCAGTCTCTCTGCTTTGTCTGGCACAGTCCCCCCAGTGGGTGAGTGGAATCAAGCAGGGGGGGGGGGCACTCAGGGGTGTTGAGACATCAGGGGAGCAGGAGATGGAGGCTCCCGGCAGGACTTCTGGGTGGGGGGCTGGACCCTGTGCACGGCTAGTCTAAGCCCTTCACGCTGCAGCCGGGCCAACCACTCCTGCCCTGGGACACCCCCCCAGAGGCCAGCCCGGCCCGCAGCACCCGCCTCACCTCCCGCAGGGGCCCGCTGAGCTCGCCCAGGATGCTGTCCTCGTCGAACATCTTGCCCTGGTAGCGGTGCTCGTAGTAGTCGTGGATCTTCTGCCGGAAGTCGGCCGGGAGCTTGTGGAAGGACATGTACTGCTCCACCTGCTTGTACTGTAAGGGGACAGTAGGTCAGCGCCGTGCCCCAGGTCCACCCCCACCAGCTGCAGGTGCAGGACCAGCAAACACAGGGCACCCCCTAAATATGAATTTCAGATCCACATGCTTAAGGTAAGTGGGTTCTCTGCAATGTCATCTCCAAGACATGCTTATATTAAAGGAAATCGTTCCTGTGTCCAAGATTTATCTGGCAACCCCACCCAAGATAGAGGTGGATGGCAGGATCCCAGGCCCTTACAGGAGGCTGGACAGGACCCCTAGGTCTTCAAGATGCTGAACCATTGTCCCAGAGACTCCCAACTGCTGGTGGCCTGGCTTCCATCCCCCATGCTCTTTCTAGAAATCACTTGCTCACCCCTCCTAGGCAGGGCAGGGGGTGTGGCACCAGGCGGGGGTGCCAGGCCCTGCTGTCCCCAGTATGGCACCCCCAGGGTTGCTCCAGGCCCATTTCCGCCCCGACTCCACCAGGGTCCAGCTGCCCTGAGCTCAGCGGAACCCGTGACGGCGGGCGGGTGGTGGCACCAGCTCATGTTTGGGTGTACAGCCCGAAGCTTCCGGGCAGCCGGGACACCTGGCACCCAGCCCAGCTGACCCGGCTGGCACTGCTGGGGGTGGCTCACAGCTGCCCAGCCACTGGATAGCGCTGCAGGATGGATGGGGCAGCGTCAGGGAGGACCATGTGTACCCTGCCCTTCAGCGTGGGGGAAGCTGAGGCACAGAACAGAGAGAGCAAAGCCGACCAGAAAGGGCCAGCATGTGAGGCCAACGCCCCCTCCTCCTTGGTCCTTCCCAACCCCCAGGTCCCCTGGTCCCAGGACTGGCCCTGTGGAGGCTCCTGGGTCCCAGCAGCAGACTTGCTGCCCCAGAGGCCTCCAGGGGGGGGGGCACTCAGGGGTGTTGAGACATCAGGGGAGCAGGAGATGGAGGCTCCCGGCAGGACTTCTGGGTGGGGGGCTGGACCCTGTGCACGGCTAGTCTAAGCCCTTCACGCTGCAGCCGGGCCAACCACTCCTGCCCTGGGACACCCCCCCAGAGGCCAGCCCGGCCCGCAGCACCCGCCTCACCTCCCGCAGGGGCCCGCTGAGCTCGCCCAGGATGCTGTCCTCGTCGAACATCTTGCCCTGGTAGCGGTGCTCGTAGTAGTCGTGGATCTTCTGCCGGAAGTCGGCCGGGAGCTTGTGGAAGGACATGTACTGCTCCACCTGCTTGTACTGTAAGGGGACAGTAGGTCAGCGCCGTGCCCCAGGTCCACCCCCACCAGCTGCAGGTGCAGGACCAGCAAACACAGGGCACCCCCTAAATATGAATTTCAGATCCACATGCTTAAGGTAAGTGGGTTCTCTGCAATGTCATCTCCAAGACATGCTTATATTAAAGGAAATCGTTCCTGTGTCCAAGATTTATCTGGCAACCCCACCCAAGATAGAGGTGGATGGCAGGATCCCAGGCCCTTACAGGAGGCTGGACAGGACCCCTAGGTCTTCAAGATGCTGAACCATTGTCCCAGAGACTCCCAACTGCTGGTGGCCTGGCTTCCATCCCCCATGCTCTTTCTAGAAATCACTTGCTCACCCCTCCTAGGCAGGGCAGGGGGTGTGGCACCAGGCGGGGGTGCCAGGCCCTGCTGTCCCCAGTATGGCACCCCCAGGGTTGCTCCAGGCCCATTTCCGCCCCGACTCCACCAGGGTCCAGCTGCCCTGAGCTCAGCGGAACCCGTGACGGCGGGCGGGTGGTGGCACCAGCTCATGTTTGGGTGTACAGCCCGAAGCTTCCGGGCAGCCGGGACACCTGGCACCCAGCCCAGCTGACCCGGCTGGCACTGCTGGGGGTGGCTCACAGCTGCCCAGCCACTGGATAGCGCTGCAGGATGGATGGGGCAGCGTCAGGGAGGACCATGTGTACCCTGCCCTTCAGCGTGGGGGAAGCTGAGGCACAGAACAGAGAGAGCAAAGCCGACCAGAAAGGGCCAGCATGTGAGGCCAACGCCCCCTCCTCCTTGGTCCTTCCCAACCCCCAGGTCCCCTGGTCCCAGGACTGGCCCTGTGGAGGCTCCTGGGTCCCAGCAGCAGACTTGCTGCCCCAGAGGCCTCCTCCATGGGACCCCCAGGCCTCTCAGACTCTCTGGCAGCCTCCCCTGCCCCAGCCCCTCTCCTTCCAGAGACTCCAGCTGTGACCCTGCCTCCCAGAGAGGCTCCCCCATGCTCCAGCCCCCAGAGAGTTCCCTGGCTCCCTGTGCCCTGGCGCTGCCCTGTGCAGACCCTCCTTGTCATCACCCCTTGGCTTGTGCCCCTCTCAACCCCTCTTGCCGTGGGCCTCTCTCTCCAGGCTCCCCCACTCTGCAAGGGCCCTGAGCTTTCTCACCATCTTTCTTCGGGCTGCTCCTTCTGACTGAGGGGAGTCCACCCCTCATCTCAGCCACGGCCCCTCCAGGGTCCCTACGCCCCCCCCCACTCCCTTCTGGCCACCATCCTTAGCGTGCCACATGGAACTGGGGGACGGGGCTGGCCAGGTGGCCCCCAGACCTCTGCAGTGTGCCTCCCCCTCAGACCTTCTCCTGGTACTGGCGCCGCGAGGAGTCCAGCGACTGGATGAGAGCAGTGGCGTGGCCGATGAACATGGCGTAGCAGGTGGCGCCCACTATCATGCTCAGCATCGTCAGCCAGATGTCTGTCATGCTCTCGGGCGCCTGGCGCCCGTACCCGATGCACAGCATGTGGCTCATGGCCTTGAAGAGCGCGAAGGAGTACAGCTCGCTCCAGGAGTGGTTCTGCAGGGCCACGGGGGGTGGGTGGGTGGGCGCTCTGGGCCCCAGGAGCCCTTCCCTTAAGTGCCCACCCACCCGTCCTCCCCACGCTCCCTGAAGGGCCGGGCACATGTCCCGCACCAGATTTCAGCCAGGAAGCAGTGTGCGCTTGGGGGTCCCCTGATCTTCATTTCCTACAGCCCACGATCCCACTCTCCCATCTGAGGATTACCCCGCAGCCTTGTCTTTCAAATACATTTCCGTAAATCAGAAGTGGAATCGATTGGAAGGGAACAGCAAGTACATGATGTTCTCTCCAGGTGACAAAGCTGTCGTGGTCCCCCTCAATGACCCAGGGACTGTCTCCCGATGGTCCGGGGTCTGGGCCGCAGGGTGCTGGGCAGGCTTCCAGGCGCGGGGCCTGACCAGCCTGTGGGGCAGGAAGGGCGCTCACCACCATGCCGTTGATGGAGACCCAGCAGTTGCGCGGGAAGTCCTGCAGCATGGGCACCAGGAACTGCAGGCAGCCGTCCCAGTGGCACAGGAGGAGCATCATGCTGATGAGGTTGCAGATGCGCATGACCGCGCTCGCCAGGTCGTAGGTCATGTGGAAGATCTGGGGGCGGGGCCTGAGGGTCCAGCCGACCACCGGGAGGAAGCCCTCAGGCGGCACCCGGACACGAGCGGCCCCCCCAACGCCCGGAGGCCCCGCCGCCTTCGGGTTCACGAAGAGCCCGGACGGGAGCACGCGGACCCTCCCCCACCAGCCCCTGCCCCCACCGCTTCCCCCCTCTGAGCCCGCCGCGCGGCCAGAGCTGGGTCATCCTGGGCGCAGAAGCGGCCCCGACGTGGAGGGCAGGGCCGTGATCATCTTCCCTCGGCCTCGGCTTCCCCATCGCCAGTGGCTGTGGATGCGTCCTCATACAGGGCAGAATGACGTGCCAAGGGCCGCGCTGCGCTCTCCATGGGGCCCCTCCGCGTGGGGGACCCTGCGACCCGCCCCGTGCAACCCCTGGCCCCGCTCCAGTGCTTGTGGCCGCGGCCCTGGAAGCCTGGAAGCCCCGGCCGGAGCTTCCCAGCACTGCCCGCACACGGGGGCCCTGCGCGCCGCGCGCGCTCACCTCCTCCCACTGATGGATGTAGCGGATGAGCCGCGACAGGCGCAGCAGGCGCAGCAGGCTGAGGATCTTGGTGAAGCGCACGATGCGCAGCGCGCGCGCAGTCTTGTACACCTCGGAGTCGATGCCCTTCTCTACGATGAGGAAGATGTAGTCCACGGGGATGGAGGACACAAAGTCCACCACAAACCACGTGCGCAGGTACTTCTTCTTGATCTTCTCGGGGTCCAGGATGATCTCCGTGTTGTCCTCGATGACGATGCCCGTGCGGAAGTTCAGCACAAGGTCCATGAGGAAGAACGTGTCCGAGACCACGTTGAACACAATCCACGGGGCTGTGGTCTCATCCTTGAAGAAGGTGATGCCCACGGGTATGATGATGAGGTTTCCCACCATGAAAAGCAGCATGGTGAAGTCCCAGTAGAACCTGGGGGTGAGGCGTGGCATCATGCCTCTGGCCTTTGCCCATGCCAAGCCCTCTGCCAGGCATGCCTTCCACACTACGCACGTGTGTCTTCCAGCCCCAGCTCAGGTCTCCCCTCCTCTGGCAAAGCCAGCACTTAGGCCCCAGATTGTGGATAGTGTGGACCCTGCCTCCAGAAGCCCACCCTCCAGACAGGGCCTCACGGCGGCCGGCCTCCACCGGCCTGCGACCCTCCTGCTGGTCCAGCTCTGACCTTCCCTCCTTGAAGGAGAGCTCAAGAGGATGCTCAAAGACTGATTGTTTCCCATGGCCAAAAAGGTCCAATATGGCTGGCACAGGATTGACATCCAAAAACAATTACAGATGAGAAAGGAGAGAGGAGCTGGGGTGGTGGGGAGTGGGGGTCTGGAGCCAGGAGCATTGGGCATGCTGGGTGGCAGGCATGGTGGGGGACCCCAGGCAGGAGAGTGCAGGCTGGGAGCTGGTCAGGGGCAGCTTGACGTGCAGGGGGCAGGGTCCCCATGCAGATCTGAGCAGTAGGCATCCACCTGGGGCACTGGCTGTACTGACATTTCAGGTAGCACTTTTGGGGGCTGGAGAGAGGGAGAGGACACGGCATCAGCCAGCAACGGAGAAACGGCCAAGGCCTCCTTGTAGATGGTGGAAGAAGCCTGAGCAACAGGACTGGGCATTTACTGTGATAAACACTCCTGAAAAGTGACCACCGGCTGCCTCCACTTCCAAATGCACCCAGGACAGATTCAAATCCCTGAGATCAATTCCTGAGTTCCACCCGGGAAGCGCTCACAGCAAGGCTGCCCATTCAAGGAATGCCCGCTGATGGCCTGCACAGTGTCCTGAATAAAGAGGCTAGGCATGGGGATGGATGGATGGATGTAGCAAGAGGCCACATGGACCAATGCCCGGCCCGCGGCAATCGAGAAAATTCAAATCAAAACCATTCCAAGGGAAAACTGCCAGTCAGTTCCTCAAAAAGTTAAAGAGAGTTTCCATCTGACCGGGGTGATTCCACTCCTGGGCATACCCACGGGAATCGAAATCAGGGACTCGGACTCAGATAGATACTGCGTGTGTGGACGTCCACAGTGGTGCCGTGACACAAACCCAAAACAACACCAAATAAACGAGCAGCAAAAGCCCCAGCACCGGCTCGGCCGCCGTGAACTCCCTATTTCAGAAACTGCTGTAAATTGGCTCCTTTCTGGACAAGGGAGGGAAGTGCTGTTAACACCCCGCCTGCTGGGTGATCCAGGCTTCCACTTCAGGGAATGGATCCCGAGGAATTTGTCCAAGCCCAAGAGAAAAAAATTAAAAAGCAATTTGTAGCACGATGTTCACAGCAGCTTGGTGAGAGCCAAAGGCTGGAAGGGACCCAACATGTAACACCCTGGTGGCAGCAGCCACTGGCAGGCGTGGCCTTGGGCAAGTCCTCCAGCCCCTGGGGACTTGGTCTCTACTCCTGTCCATCCTGGAGGCAGCCTTTGAACCCCTGCCCAGCTCTGTCCTGCCCATGCATGATGCATCTTTCTGAGTGGACCTGGGGACCC